CTCTCTCTCTCTCTCTCTCTCTCTCTCGTCTTCTTCTTCTTTCGTAATTTTCTCTTCTTTTACAGTTCAAAGTTCTTCTTCTTCTACAATTCACTCTTCAAGAATCCGTCAGTCATCGAAGCACCTCCAGCCGCCGCAAACAGCCACGCCTGAGCCCGCGCACGCCTCCTTTTCTGTCATCGCTGAGAAGCAACCTACGCGAGCCCCTCGAACAGACCTAGAAGCAGCCCTTTGTCTCTGTTCGTCACACGCACAAGCAGACTGAGAAGCAGCCTTTGTCGTGACCCGAACAACGCCGAGAGAGAGACCGAGTACCCTAGCCCTTGACGAATAACTTGGAGTTGTTTTGGCCATTGTTGAATCCGTTTTGACGAAAAAATTTTCAGAGGATAATTGTCGAAATAATTTGATGTACTTGATTCGTTGATAGATAGTATTATTCTGTATATGTTACGGGTATATACATTATATTTTCAGTATATGTTTTCGTCCGAGTAATGTAGCATCCAAAAAATCCCACCACTGCAGTCCTTCTCAATAAATCGTCCAAAAACAAGAAGATAGACCGCGTAGAGACCCCACACTGTGCCTGAATCCATTTTTTGACGAATAACTTGGTGTTGTTTTCGTGTATGAAAATTATGTACATGATTTATATATCACTTTCAGATATAAAAATTTACATGTTGCGGGTATACACAATATATAACAAAGCTATACAATACACATATACATAAAATATACATGAAATATACACTCGAGATTCTCGTAATTCAAGCTAACGACGTATTGGGACATACATATACATAAAATACACTTTAATTATACAATCGAGTTTCAATCGTTTGTCAAAATCGATTTCAAAACCCACATGTACATAAAATATACTTAAACTTTACATAGAAAGATGATTAAAATTTAATGGAAATGAAATAAAGAGGAGAGAGGAGAGAGGAGAGAGGAGAGAAGGAGAAAATAATGGAGAAGACAAAGAAAAAAAAAAGATGAATAGAAAATAGTGTAATGGGGAATTGTTAGGAGTAGATAAACGAGGGAGGAGAGAGATTGATTTAATTAGTTACGATTTTTAAAGTACTTTCTGATTTGGAAACAAATTTTATGCAATAGTATAATTATTTTGGAAGAGTTGAGTATTGATACAAATTCTTTGTTCCCAAACGTAAAACTGCAATTATTTATAAAAAAGCCTAGAATGTATGTAAATTATCCGAGTGAAAATTCTTGCCCATCAATTTGGCACTGCCCATACAAGCTCGTTTACTCTTGGATTAACAGTCAATACATAATCATATACCTTCAGTTAATTAGATCTTTTCCATGAAATGTAACAACAAATTGTCATACATTTTGTACAAAAATAAATGTTTATATCAATCGTAGTTTACTTTGAAGAATTATTATACGTACATTACTGATATCTTTCTTAATTCATTTTCATGATGATCACAAGGATTGTATATCATGCCATTAATAAATTACTCGAACTAGTAATCCATTCGTGATGCACAAATTATATATAAAAAAAAAATATAAACTTTATATATAAAATTGACAATAAAAAAAAAATTATTTAGTAATATGCATCTAATTTATAATTGAATTGTTTATATTAGTTAACAACTCTTAGCTGAATTTTTAGATTTCCATAAAAAACAATAATATAAATGAGATTTTTATCATATAGTAATTACAATTATTATTTGGAGATAATGACGATTATTAGTTTTAATCACTTTGAGCATTATATTACTAATAATTATAAAAGTATCATGAAAGATTAAAAAAATGTGAGTTTTTTTTTT